TCTCGTCAATCATATAAACTACTACGTTACACCCCTCGCTTATTGCCTTTCTATCTTTAAGCATGTAATCCGCCAGCTGTTCCAGGTGCTTACTCCTTTTCTCCACAGTAATATTTACGATCACGTGGTTTATCGCTTCACTGTAGTTCACATGTCTTGGTGTATGTAAAAGCGCAGTTGCTCCTCGGGGGCATATCAACCCATCCACAGCTCATGATAATATCCTTTTCACCTCAAGGCAGTCTTCTTGGGAAGGTAGCTTTACGAGTGCCTCATACCCCTTCTGGAACTCAGGTGCAGTGTGGTTTTGCCAGGCGTGCGGCCCTGTTGATTACGGAGATGTATTTACCTTAACACTACGTTGAATCACGTTATTTTCATGTGTTCACAGTTACACGCGGACAACGATTACATTAGTGCATTCAATCGCTGTGTTTGTTCTGCTTGGCATGTTCTGGCCAACGTCTCCATGATGATCCTTGGCGTTACCCGTATGTCCTCTTTTCTGTCACTAACTGACCATTGTGCATGTATTCGCCCATGATTATTTCATGCTGGCAAACACAAGTGGAACTTTAATTGTTTTAAAACAGATGCCTAAGTTCGAATCCGTAAATCTCGATTATATTGATTCCTCCAAATAAATTCTTCTTGTTACTTCTTTTTTTGAAATAGTCATTGCTTCTTGCATAGTTTATGCACATCCACGACAGCTCAGTGTTGACTTTCTATTCACTGCTTTGTTTCCTAGACAAGTGGTTGGTACCGTGTGGCATTGGATGTTACTTATCGTTTACTGAGCAACTGGGGCTACGGAGAAGCTCAAGGTGGAGCGGCATTGACTCCATTCACTGCACAGGTAAGCTTCGACCGACGGGGCGGGTCGGTGTCTACTGTCTCTCCGGTAAAGTTTACACGTTCGTGGGATGTTCCGGTTTCGTCGTTATTTAGCTGCTTCATACGTGGATAATGAGAACTCCCGGGGGGGTTGGAGGTTGGTCGAGTAATGCAACCCGTTCTGATTCACGGTTCAGTTTTTTAGGTTGTTTTCACCACAGTTCATCGCACTTATCCGACGCCGTTCTTGTCACATGAACTTTGGGTAACAATTCACACTTGATATTGGTCAATCTGATTAGCACCCATGAGAACTGTTTGTCACAGTTGTAATTCACATGACTTCCATACCTGGTCCGGAGTTCAACTCCCGAATTTGTGGGTGGATGTGCACCACTGATGAGCTCCAACACGAGTGAAAATCCAGTTCGATCCTTCTCTCATTTTGGTGGGGAAACATCTGTGTCACGGTAAAGTAATGACTGGGGGTTTCCGCAGCAGATGTCATTTGAGGCATTTGGGCGATTGGGAATATTTCACAAGGTGCAAGCGAACGATGACCAGTCACAACCCAATATGCGTTGTTTTATATTGTATTGTATTGTATTGGAAATGGCATTTGCAGGCAACTGTGCCTATATTTCAGTCAAAAATGTGTTCACCGGTATAATGGAATAAAAAATGAAATGAAAATTCATACACAACAATGATAGAACTTAAACAGGTGTTCATCTTTGAAGGTTTAAAATTAGTTCGTTTCGGATCTTCACCTTGTCAGTCAGAATACGAGCCAGATGGGGAACCGTTGAGTTGCGATAAATGTTTCTGCGGGGGGGGGTAAGCAGCGAAAATTGGATCGGGTTGTTGCGTGGGAACTACGAGCAGAAAAATCGGGATTGAGCGGGTCATTGAGTATCTTATGAGCGAAATTCTCACATGAAGTGATATGCAGATTGCGCAATTCGGTGATCAGAGTGTTTAAAGGAATAAGCGAAACATGACTAATAATTACCAAACCACGATGTAGAGTAAAGAAATCCTTTCCAAGTGATCCAGGGAAAATAACGAGTGAACAATAAAGTATGACAGGAAAAATGGATTGATAAACAAAGGAACATACAGTTTCAGACCTGATGGGAAATTGTAACTTGCGTACTTGGAAGGACAAGCGACGCAGTCTACCAGCACAGGTTAGCCTATGAGAGGACCACTGTCGACTGCTGTCGGAGGTTTTCTGAGGCGGTCAGAATGAATCGATCAGGTGCTCCTTCAGAACGTCGAGAATTATGCACCGCTTTTAAAAAGAACCGTGTTCTTCATCAATCGTTGGATTTCACTTCCAGGGCTTTGATTGTCCTTTTTTACGTGTTTTGCAAACAGATCGTTTGGCCGAAGGGGATTGCCTGGGGGGTGTAAGTCTTGTTCACGTGTACAAGCTACCGCTCAGTTCAGTTCATACATTGACCTTGCGCTTTCGCGCGGCGGTTTTGGCTCTACGTACCTTGTAGTGTGCAGGACCGACCCCAGTTGTGAATCCACTCAAAATACACTGACAGGTTGATTCCGGACAACGCAGTCCGAGTTCTCATATACAGCTAGCGTCGTCCAAAAGGGCTGTACAATCTCTGGCCATTTACCGACGGTCTCAATGCACGGGCAGGATGCACTTCTCACAGTTAGTTCTCCGTGGATGGGGTTCCAAACGACCTGCAAGACAGAGAAAATACAAAATCCAACTATGAACCAAAATGTCCAGCGGGAGACATGCACACAACTCATACATTCAATTCAAAATGACTGCCCTGGTGTCTTCACTACAACCTATTCGACTGAAGGAGGTTGGAAGGTTGGAAGTGGAGTAGATGCACAAGCTTCACTGTTTGTAACACTCTGCCATCGAATACACTGATCCCAAGGTTCCCATCCTGGAAGCTTCATGTAACCTATGTGTCCAAGTCCCCGAGTCTGGATTTTCATGCCGTCATCTGGGGTCTGAAACATTTATGACTTTTTCAGACAGCTTCGCTGTTGTCCAGTTCCATGTCATACCTAACCCAATGCGGCCTTATGTGTTTCGCCAATCCAAGTTCTGACTTAGGTTTCCGGTTTTCAGTCATGAAAACCGAATCTTCTGTTCCCCACTTATGGTTGGGCAATAAAACTGACCCGTAACTTGCAGCGTTCTGCGTAATCGATGGGAGTAGACCACTTGCTCCAGGAGATACCCGCGATTCCCTAAAACTCTGACCCTAGCCTTAGAACTGCTTGTCCGGTTGCAACATCAGACTGATGCGGTGAGGAATAGACAGCGATGTTCAAACATCGACAGTCTATTTTTATTCTGTTCCCGTAACGACCAAGTCACTCCATCAGACAGCAGCACCGGTCTAACGGCTGCAGTACACACCTGACTCTTCACAGATACTTGGGCATTGCGATAGTGCCATAGATGATAAACATCAAGCAAGCATTCAGTATGTGTGCTAACATTTCATGCAAGATTCGTTCGCCAGTTGGTATGTAGCTGCCCAAATAGCAAAATTCTTTAACTTTCTCTAGCGCTTCATTGAATCATTCACTCTTTGAACGGGGTCAAACTTCCTGGGTGTTCAGTACACCTCGATACCCAGTCGAGCCGATGACCACTATCACAACAAGGAAGGTATCGACGTTTGTGCTTCGTACGTCTCTTCTTTTTTGGTTTGTAATCAGGGTTTTAGCCAGCTCCCCTATGTGAAGTACCAGTGGTTCACCGACCCATTTATAGCCCCACATGTCGGCTTTTCGTCCTCTCACTTTAATGGGAAAACACCTCCGCCACGAGAAGACAGTGAGTAAGGCTTCCTCGGCAGAGGCTATTTGAGACGCTTGCTCATATTAGAGCATTTTGCGAGGTGTAAGGAAATGGTGACCAGTCACAATCCCAGACACAGACCCTGACCATACTGAGGCTTTCGAAAACAATGCACTTACGTACATGCATACATACATACATACATACATACATACATACATACATACATACATACATACATACACACATACACATATTTCTGCATGAAATGTTTTTGCAATCTAAATTTTTTGCCAAAGACAGTTCTCACGTATATTTTCGCTTTTAGATCTGGCTTGCACGATTCGCACTGCTCATTCGCATTCGCAATTACGAGGTGGCCGAGCGGGAGTTAGCCACTTTTGGGACATTGGACGCACCAAACGTGTACTTTGAGTCAGCACCGGACTTGTATCCGGGCCGATCAGGTATGATGGTTTCCCATTTTTACTCTCCTCAGTTTGAACGGGATCTATGCATGAAGTCCTAATTGGTTTTGTCTTTTTCGTTTCTTGATTCGGTTCGGGCGATTGATTTGTTTACATAATTATATTTCTCATGCAAAGTCAGCGCGTCACTCATCGCGGATCCGCCTTCGAAGCACTGTGTTCGACTGAATCATCCTAACAAGGAATCGTCAACAGTTTGTCTACGCGGAATCCACCGGGATTCTAACCCGGACTTGGACGCGGTTGTTATTGTGATGAGCCAACCAATTGGGCTATCAGGACTAACTTTCATCAGCGTGTTACGCATTGAAACTGTGCGATAAAATGCACATTCGTTAGTGTCCTTAAAAGTACTGGACTTCACGGGATCGCAGAAACGTTCATTGCGGCACTGTGGTGCGCTTAATCGGTATTCATTTATTTGTTCTTTCCTGTTTGGTTCTCAACTTTCTTAGACATTCGCGTGGCCTTCGACTCTGTCGATAGGACCGCACTATGGAACAGTTTCTTGATGAATGGACCATCTGAGAAGTATGTATTGATCCTCAAAGAGTTGTACCGTCATATCTCAGGTCGGGTTAGGGCCTATAGCCATCTTTCGACACCCTTCGCCGTCTTCAGTGGAGTTTGACAAGGCTGCCCTATATCCCCATTCCTTTTCAACTTTTTCATAGAGAACGTTCTACAAAATGCTTTGTCCGGTCTAGCAAACGGTGAGGTCGAACTCCTCCCAGGGAACAGAGTTCTTAACTTGGAATATGCCGACGACATCGCCTTGCTGGGTGACAACACAGCCAGTCCAAGAGGCTTTGAACCGCTTGGCGATCGAGGCATCCAGGTATGGTATGTGCTTTGCACCTTCCAAGTGCAAAGTGCTTGTTCAAGACTGGCAGGAGCCTGTATCTGCATTCATCCTCTGTGGTGATCAGCTGGAAATGATCGAGAGCTTTAAGTACCTCGGTAGCTTGATCGCAGTTGGTGTTGGTGTTGAGGAAGAGATAATATTACGAATAGCAAAAGCTAGAGCAGATTTCAACAACCTGCTGCACATATGGTGCCGCCATGACATCTGATTGTCCCTCAAGGGAAGGGTTTCCATCGCCGCGGTTAATAGTGTTCTGCTTTACGGTTACGAGACTTGTCCCCTTCACGTTGAGGATATATATATCCACTTTATACTTGATTTTCTCTGCGACCCCGGCAAGTTGTTCTTCTTCATGACATGATTTTAAAATAATCCTTTGTCAGTTTTTTTGAGCTCTTACACCGAAATATTTAGTTACTGTTGTTAATGTCGGACATACGTGATCTAACAGAAAAAACATTGGAATAAATAAATTTTAAGCGCGCAACGCCATCCAGATCAGTCTAGAAAATATGACGCCACAATCAGCTTCTTGAAATCCAAACACTAATCCCTCGGAGCTTATAGAATAATAAATAATCCTTTCGCTCTTATTTATCTGATATACAATCAGTATCGGTTCGATTTTCAACGTGCGCCCAATGTTGGACCAACAGGAACATTCAGCACTCGGTTTTGGTTTCAAGTGCACAAACTACAAAGACGCGATCACCGCCCTCTGCTATTTCCCTCATAAAACATTTGCATATACTGTGTAGAAAACCATGGTTTCGCTCACCACTAGTGGTTCCTACATTGGACTCGTATGACTGGTTTTAGCCGGTCTATTTCCTCAAAAGCTTCATGCTTTAAGACCACTCTGTTTGCTTTCATTGACAGAGGTAGAAGTGATCAGAGTTGGAATCTATCATGAAGTCTACTTCATTGATGAAACAGTAAAATTGGGGAACTACATACAGGGTATCTTTTATAAACAAAAAAAAAACTATTTTATGCTTTGTCACTTTGCAACCTAAAATCAATTGACGTTAGAACTGTCGGTGTTGCATTTTTATTTCCGAGATTGATTTGCCTACTTCTCAGCTTTTCAGTAGCTTTTATCTGTAATCGGAATATTTTAGCTAATGTTCGCGCAGCAATGTGGTTGTCTCTCAGCGTAGCGCACAGCAAAGGATGTATTGGTACCAATTCCTAGCTAAGTGAATTGTTCTTGAAGATTTGTTGACCGTTCTGTACTCTGTAAGTAACATGTTACTCTTTATTATGCTTAGAATAAATATGCAGCCACATCGTGGATCATGATCATTATCGCACAGCGAAATAGAGTGAAGCGAACTTCACTGATCGCTGCCAAACTCGCAATGTATACAAGGTTAGAGGTAAGATTTAAGGTGGACAGAGATTGGACCTATTTCGGAGGGGGGGGGGACGAAAATGAACCACTATGGTCAACACAGATTACGCGATCGCACTCTGCATACATACTGTTTCAAGCATTCTGACTTGATAAGAGACGACAACAAGAACGCCACTGCTGTCGGTTCACTGCCATATCCTTCAGTGTCTCCAACCAACCAGTTGTGGAGTCTTTTGGACACCAACCTGGAAGGTAAGAGACACCTACTCTACCTAATGGCTCTGTGCATTTCTTCATGCCTCGTCTCCACGTCATCTGTTGACCTGCACGTGGTTTCCTCCAGCCCGGATTAGTTACAGCGAATAAAGCGCGGTGCGGCAGACGACAGCTAGGCGTACGCAATATGTACCCTATCCAGCGAATTCCACTAATCTGAATTCGGTGTGCTAGCAGGTTTATCCGTGATAAACTCCCAAACACACGACGGCTTATTTCCACGCTACCAACCCGTTCGCTCTATCCAACGGAGGCTAAACTGCGTAAACACCGATAATCGAAAACTTCTAGTCGACGGATATCTTCTACTCGCAAATTCAAGATTTCCCAACCATAAAGCAGGACTGAAAGAACGCTAGCACAATATACACAACCTCTCAACTTCAGTGAAACGTCGCGTCTACGCCAAAGATGTTTCCATTGGTAAGAAAATATTCTTATAATTCATCACCGTATTGTTTTGTTATTGATTGTTCTCACCGTTAGATTTTAGTTAGTCGCCTGTAAATGACGGGACTACCATGTTGTGATTAGTTGGGCTCATTTCGTACTGTCATACTCGAGTTACCGTACCGCCCGATCACCCATTGACTTTCTGGTCATACAATTTTAAGCTCACAACTGATAGTTCCTCCGCCCCTCCCAACTTACTTGGAACTATCTTTCTCTGTTCCACTTCCAGGCTCCATCATTCCCTTCTCTCTGCGCCTCGTTCATGCCGAATTGCCCTTCCATTTGGGTCGGTCCGAACAAGCACTGGATCGACTGTATCATCTGATTGCCATCATTGGTCGTGTGAGTAGACAGAGATTTCTTTGTACGCATTCGATTTTAAAAAAAATTTCCAAACCCGATTGTATAGTACAGTCGCGACTTAGGGTGGACAATAGCTGTTACACATGTGTACCCATTACAACTCACATGTGTTAGCAATGATAACCCGTATGCATCTAAACCACTTCAGGTTGTGTTTTTTCTCTCCATAGTTTCCCATGATTGTCTGAGCCGCAGCACGCTTCGTACTCACATGAAAACATTTTTCCGATTCAAATGAAACCGATCGGAAGAGGGATCGCATCAAAGTGTTTTTCGATTAAGCTTTCTGATCCGTTCATGTCGTTCGATTTTCCGACAAATCCCCCGGAGGAAACTGGCCGCATAACAAACGATATTTTCCGTGTTAGACTATTTTGAATCAACAATGGGATGAGAGAAAAGAAAAACCCTGATCCGGATAATCTGATTAAAATTCTCATTTATTTGCCTACGTGAATGGTTTTGCTCAATGGACACTGTGTATGATAGTCTGATCAACTGCAGTTGTGTTTTGCCCGCCTGAGGTTTATGCTGGGTCATTTTTTCCATTAAACATCATGATTTGACGAACAGTGAATAAAGGAGATGTATCCTTTCTCTGCGGTTGAAATCCTCCCGTAGGCTTTAGATTCTACAAATCTACGGTTAGCGGATCTGTATGCTACGAGGCGTGTCCCCGGGTAACGAAACAAAAAAAAGACGAAAATTGATCATTCATGAATAGTTGACCATTGCTTCACGAAATAATAAATGCCAAATATCAGAGGACGCGGACAGGGGGTGGCGAAGGATTACAATTCGGTGGCGAAAAATCACAGATGTCCGTAGAAGACAACGCACCTTATGTAAATCTGGTCCATCACCGAACTAAAGCCACTTATGGCTATACTCTGGAGAATTTTACTGAACTCTTCCAATAGTCCGAGTTATTCTCATTCAGAGTTTAGGCAATTGATTTGAGCCTAAGGGAAATGGAAAAGCCAATTAGTTTCGTGAGATGAGCCTCCAACAGGAATGTTCTCTGTCATCCGATTTAGCTATCGTGCATTTTTGGATTCGCCCGAAAACCATCAAACACATGTGCTTCCAATTCCTATCATTGTACCTGTTTGAGTGGATTGCAGACCGAGACCGAAGCCAAACTGCTTACATTCGTAAATATTATTGTGAATGCAAATTGAAAAAGTCATTTTCAGAAGGTGCTTCATCGCATAAAATTGACTTGTTGCACTGGATGCTTTCAGAACATTGAAAACAGCTTCCAGAAGGTACGTCCATCGAGACTATGGTTGGTCTAACTGGATCATTTAATGACATTGGTCTAGCAATAGCTGTAGT